CTACCGCACTTTCTTGATCAGTTGTATCGCCTTCTTTGGGCAGTGGGACCTCCCGCCGACCAGCTACTACTTCCCCTTGATGGGTGAGCGAACTCTGAATCTCAATTATATTATAGGCTAACTGGATGGCTCTCTATCTAGCAAAGACGGCAGGGATTACGAGCGAGCGCACGCAGCTGCTCCTCAATGCTCTCCAGACACCGATCATGATGGTGGCCGCGCTATCCGGGCTGCGGTGGCAAGACCGACTCGGCCGACGCCCGCTTCTGATCGCGTCGAGCACCGGTATGGCGATCTGCGTCGCAATCATCACGGCGTGTACCGCGCAGCAGGCAGGCAAGCCTGTCGTCGGAGGCGTGGGGATAGCGTTCGTGTACGTCTTCCTCGTCGTTTTCGCGTTCGCCTGGACGCCCGCGCAGTCGCTGTATCCCACGGAAGTCCTGGCATTCAACACCCGCGCGAAGGGTCTGGCCTTCATGAACCTTTTGGTCAATATCGCAGGCGTGTTCAACACCTACGCGCCTCCCGCAGCGATCGCGCGAGCGAGCTGGCGATTCTACATCTTCTACATCTTATGGGACGCGCTCGGAGCGGTGGTCATCTACTTCACCTTCGTCGAGACTAAAGGGAAGAACCTGGAAGAGATCGATCGCATCTTTGAAGCCGACAGTCCAAAGAAGGCCAGCCTTCAAACCAACGCACAAGTCGAGAACAAAGCACATATGTAAGTGGGAGTCCCTGGAAAAGGGCGTGGGCACTGCGGAGGAAAATACTTAGTACGGATTAAGTTCAAGTCTATAATGTATATATGTGTATACTCCGTATCTGGTAGGGCGAATACATGATCAGCTCTTCGCACCATGTCCTCCGTAAAAGATCGTATCGCAGGTATATGCCATGAAGAAGAGGTTTGATTGATGCTAAAAACACAATACTCGTCGTAATGAGTTGTACAGAGACTCAGACCCGTGGGACTGCAGGGTCCATTGATTCATCAGAAAGTGCTGCCCTCCGGTGGCTGGGGAAGCTTTCGGTTGTTCATCGATGCCATTTCCCTGAGCAACAGATGTAAGGCCGGAGTTCCCTGGACGTGGAGATTGTGAGAACTGACCGCCTAATCTCCACTAGGACCGTCTCGATACTGTTGTTCCTGTTCCAATGTGCGAGTACGGGGAGCTTGTTGGGGTCGACTTTGCCGTCTACCTGGCTGACGAATGGAAGATTCACACGAGAGATGAATTGGACGGTAGGCGGCTGATCGGGATAGTTCTCCCCGCAAGTGATCTTGAGGCTGTAGATACGGTTCTCATGCACGGTCTAAGAGAAGCAGTCATCAGTCCCACGACGCGAGACGATAGCATCGATCGCTATGAGAGAAGAGACAACGGTATACGCACATGTCCAGGGCCAATGATGGTGCCGTTCCAGTGGCTCATCATGATATCGTCCGAGTCCTCGAGACCGTACGAGCACGAGCCATCGCCAATACCTTTCTCGCCTTTTTCAAGCTCCTCCAGCAGACGGAAATTGCGTGGTACTGTTGTCAAGGTAAATCGTCATATCCTTTACGCGTAGCAAAGGGTGACTAACTTTTGGCCATGTCAATAGACGTAAGGAAGTTGAAGCAGGGTGGCGGAGCGGTGCAAAGCAGCAGACGGTCGTTAGTGGCGTCGCTTCCCGAATCGAGCGAGCCGGCATTCGCCGGGCCGTCACTGCCTCGGCTGTAATGACTTCGAGTCCGTAGTCGCCACGCTCGGCGCTCGCTCCCATCCCGCAGTCGCCCAGCAATTCGCTATCACCTCCGTCTCTTTCCCCTACCACGACAACCTGCCAGTCTCCAAATTCCCCGAGACATGTTCAAGGCGGGACAAGCAAACACGTACGAGGAGATTGTTGGTGAGTTTATTACGGAGCGTGAGATATTATGCGAGACGTTGACATATGGTCCGCGACGCAGCGAAGACAACGGATGAGAATCTCACCAGCGAAAACTGGGAGCTCATTTTGAACCTGTGCGACAAGGTACAGGAAGAGGGCGAACAAGGGTAAGTCTCCATACCATGTTAATTTTCCTGCCAGTCTCTTATCCTCCGCCATAGTGCCCGGAATGTGATCGCAGCGTCGCTGAAGCGGTTAGCGCATCGCAACCCCAATGTCCAGTTGTATACCCTCACTCTGGTTGAAGCGTTGTCCAAAAACTGCGGCGTTGAAGTACATCGGGAAATTGCTTCTAGGGCGTTCACGCAAGGCTTGGAGAAGCTCATCACCGATCGGGTAGGACGATACAGAACACGTCATTGCGATATCCTTTTTGACTCCCTTGTGGCTAGACCACGCATGATAAAGTGAGGAAACGTGCCCTCAACTTGGTGGCGGTGTGGGCCGCCGAGTTCGAGAGGGACCCGACGCTGGGGCTGATGGAGGAGTGTTATGATAACTTGAAGGCTAAAGGTGCGCCTATCCGCTCATCCTAGTGCACCATAGTAGTAACTACTAGTGTGCTCCCAGGATATAAGTTTGAGACGCCGAGTGAGCCTCCTCCGCCAGAGGTTGACGACGAGGTCCGTCGGCGGGAAGAAGAGGAGCTCCAGCGTGCCCTGGAGATATCCATGCAAGACAAAGGTGGCAGATCCCAATGGGAGGCTTATTCACTCGCATCATCGAGCGGTGCCGGTGGCTCCGGTGCCGGCAGCTCGAGACAAACAGCAACGGCAGCCCCTGGAACTTCAGCATCGCCTTCTCGCCCCACTCAAAGTACCAACAACAACACCCCGATATATGGTGGATATGTTCCTTCGTCTGCTACTCCTGCAGTAGCCGCGGTTACACAGCTACAGCCCTCTTCTCCGGCCGCTTTCAGTGCCCCTCCCGCTAGCAGCTCCCCCGTTTCCGTGCATTCGACACAGGAAAGTATACCCATCGTCACCCGTGTTCGGGCACTTCACTCGTTCGAACCCACGGAACCTGGAGAGCTTGCCTTTGAGAAGGGCGATATAATCAAAGTTGTTGATCGCAACTACAAGGATTGGTGGCGAGGTCAGCTCAAGGGTCGCACGGGTATTTTCCCAGTTAACTATGTCGTATGTCGCGTCATCTGGTTCATGCAGAACTTTCCTCACGACGAACCCTATAGGAACCTCTGCCGGAGCCGACAGCGGCAGAAATTGCTCGAGAGGCCGAACAGGAAGCTGCGGTGTTCGCACAAGCTGCGAATGTCGACCGACTTCTGATGATGCTGCGCAACATGGATCCTGCGCGTGACAACTTGGCAGACAATGAGGAAATTCAGGTTTGTGTTGGCGAAAAGTCGCAGCTTTGTCTGTCCGTGAGCTGATCGACCCCTAGGAGCTATACCGCTCTTGCATGTCGCTGCGGCCGAAGATCGTGAAGCTGATTGACAAGTACAGCCAGAAACGAGGTTCGTAATTGAGACCTACGTACACATCCAAGCTCGCTGACGCATCACTGATAGCTGATCTTGTGTCTATGAACGAGACCTTCGTCAAGGCAAGAACTATCTTTGACAGAATGATGGAAGAATCGCTTGCACGTCATACCGGAGGTAAGCGTTAACTTGCAGCGGACGGTGACAGAAATATTGAGAGAGCGTCCATCATAGTGTACGATAGTCGTCCTGGGTATGCCCAGAACCCCGGCCAACCATATATCGCCCGTCCGGACTCGAGAACTCGTCAGGACTATTATGCTGTCGGAGGGCCTCCAGCGGGTCCTGGTGCGCCTCAAGCGTATGGATGGAACCCCGCCTTATACGACCAGCCTGGGTACAATGCTTATCCAGCAGCTGCTTCCGCTTACCCCCCTGTCTCAGAGAGTCCTTACCCGCCCTCTGTGGCACCCCATCCTCCCGCTGCGCCTCCTCAACCGTACGGTGATCCCAACGCTTACGCGACTCATCCTCAGTCCGCGTATGGCCAGCCCCCTCAGCCGTATCCTGGCCCGTCGCCGTATGCGCCTGCTCCTGAGCAACAGGGCTATCCTGTTAGCCCGGTCATGCAACCACAGCAGCCAGGTCCTCAGTCCGGCGTACAGCCCGTTGAGCCTCAGCATCAGTCTCAATCACGGGTGTATCCTCAACAATCCCAGCCTCCACCCCAGCTCCAGCAGCAGCCGCACGTTCAGCAGTCAAATCTGCAGCCACATGCGCAAGCACAGTCCCAGCCTCACATTTCTCAGGCGCAATCGCAGCCTCAACTCCAGGTCCAGGTCCAGGCCCCAGCCCATCCTCAGATGCAACAGCAGATGCAGCCGCAAAGTCAGCCGGAGGCTCAGCAGACTCCGCAGCAATCGTCGCCCACGCCTTCCGAACGCCGCAGTGGTCCTCCATACGTGTATGACCCTAACACGACGTACTCGGATCCGAACGTACAGGCATGGGCGCAGTACTATGCGCATGGCGGTACGGACCCTACAGGCGCGGTGTACTTCCTATCAGTCCCGGGGGTGAAAGAAGGCCCGCAGCCCGCTCCTCCTTCGGTTTCGCGCTCCGAGTCGACCGACTCTATTGGTCCAGACGCCGCTTCGTCAGGACAAGGCACGTCCGTTCCTCCTCTGAATATAAACAAAGGACAACACCCGGCGGATCAAGGAACGCAACATTCGCAGCCCAGCGTCTATGGAGTTTCGCCCTATGCCCCTGCTGCTGGGTCAGCATCTCCGCTCGGGGATGGTCCGAACAATGCAGGCCAGCAGTACTATGGGCTGACGAACCAGTTTGCTGGATTGGATCTCAAAGACGATGGGAGGCAGAATGGCCAACTGGGACCCGTCGGCGCACCTGCTTAACTAGTTGGGATACCGGACAAGGATCGCAGGCGGACACGGGGGTTTATGACATATGGAGTATGTTGTGTATCTATGCATGTTAGTAACTACAAGATCAGCGGCGTACTTGGCAAGAGGAAGATATGTGTACTCCCCGTCACTATCGCCATCAGCACCGAGACCGTCAAGAACAGCAAGAGCAGGTTTGAAAAAGAAGTTCTCCCGACTGAGAGTCGAACTCACGACCTCAGGTTTGCACAAAATAGTGATGTCATACCGTACGCATGAGACCTGCTCCTTAACCAACTGAGCTATCAAGATTTATAAACGTTGTCCACCAGATAATTAATGAGCTGCAGGAATTAGGAGGCACCGAGGATGCCGTCACGGATGTTCGTGAGTCTCGTCGACCGGTGGCAGTGGCTGGTCTCAGCACTTGTATCCTTGTACTTCCTTCCGAGACCTCATTTACCGTCGTAGTCACTTCTGAACTTTGCGTTGGACTTCGGTGAAAACTCATGTTCGCTTGTCATCTCTGATCAAACAGACGGCACTTGAGATCTGCAACCATTATTAACACGCTGGGGCCACGTGTGGAACAACGTACCTGTGAAGTCATACCTTCCTCTTCCCCACACGAAGCAAGCAACGAGCACTTGCTCTCCTATCCTTTCTGTACAACCGATATTCATCCTCAGGATGGTACCGCAGGTCGACCTGGTCCTATTATTCCGTTCGTCTCCGGGTAAAGTGCTATCCAAGCCACAGGCCCGCGAGAATGCACGACAGGCTGCTCAACAATATACTCACCTTCTCGAGGTTCTCAAGAACGGACGTCTACACGCTGTGGGGAAGCGCGGTGAGAAAGAGGGCCAACTTCTGGTCCTCGTTCATTGTCCAGAGAGCACTCTCACGCGCCTTGTACAGCGAGAGCGGTACGTCATGGTGTGATATCTGGCAAGCAGGCCCCTGATTCTTCTTCCGGCGCAGATATTCGGATTTCTTGTGTGGTCTTCCTACCACCAATCCCACCGGTACCAGAGACTTGACGACAGAGCCTCTGAGTCCTGCGGACAGATTACGGTTGGTGCATGCCTATGTTACATCTACGCCCGCCGACGGTGGATTGGGTGTTGCTCCGGCATCGTCCAATTGGGATCGCCTCGAGTCCGTGCTGATGCTGCACGACCACTCCTTTAACGACACATGGATCAAGGCATGGACAACTCGTCAGCTCGGGTTCGTAACTTTCGACCGAATTCGCGAGCAGGTGAGTATACCACGGTTGGTTGCCCCATGACTTCACTCATTCTAACTCTTGGTAGTTCGGAGAAGCAGTGGCGCTGTACTTCCATTTCCTGTCATTCTACACGAAGCACCTCCTGTTTATATCCGTCGTCGGCGTTCTCTTCTACTTCTTTTCCATGCCATACTCAACCTTGTATTCATCCATCCTCCTGCTCTGGTCGATCATCTTCGTCGAATGGTGGCGCATCAAACAAAGAATATTATCTGTCCGGTGGGGCACAAAGGGCTCCTTCCGCGTCGAGAAGCGCAGAGCGCAATACGTCCCTCTCGCTTGGTGGAAGAAGGATTTGAGGATGCTGGCAAGCCTGCCGGTGATCCTATTCTTCGCGTCTGTGCTCGCCGTGATCCTCACTGCGATTTTCATTTTCGAAGCTTTTGTGACGCAACTGTACACAGGACCCGGACATCGGCTCATTGTAAGGCGCAACCACTCTCTGTCCCACCGTGTTCTGATAATCAGTACAGGGATTCAGCCCGACCATCCTATTTGTCGCTTTGGTGCCGAGGCTTCTCGCCATCTACCACTCGTATGCGGTTCGCCTGACCAACTGGGAGAATCATGCGCACCAATCGACGCACGACGCATCTCTGACAATCAAGACATTCAGTCTTTCCGCGATCGTGGCTTACCTCGGTATCGCGCTCTCTGCATTCGTGTACGTTCCCTTTGGCGAAGAGGTCATGGCGGGCGTACAACATTATCTATTCTACCGCGATACTCCGTTTCATGCGACCGCTAGGACGTGGCTGTCGACGGTCTTCTCCGCCTTGCCATCGAACGTGACGACGCCCTTTAATGCTACCGCCGATACGAAGAAGACGGGAGAAACCTCACATCGGACGTTCTGGGAGCGCGATAGCGGCAGTGCTCGAGGGAAACTCAGCTCAACGCGTCTTCAGGACCAGATGTTCGCATTCACTGTGACTAACCAGGTCATCAATACATTCCTGGAGATCGGGCTTCCCTTCGTCATGCGAGCCGTGGCTTCGGTGCGCAGTGGCAAAGGCCTCTCACTTGCAGCGCCTGCTGCCGGCGCGAACAGTGGGAACGGCAACAGCAAGAAGAAGCGGGTCATGTTCGATGACCAGAGCGCAGAAAAGGAGGCGAAGCGGCTAGCTGACCAGGATGAAGAGCGGGAATTCCTTGACAGAGTGAAGAGGGAGGTCGCGCTTCCAGACTACGATCTCTTCGCAGACTACAGCGAGATGGTCACCCAATTCGGCTATGTCGCCTTGTGGTCGACGATCTGGCCTTTAGCACCAGGTGGGTTATTTCTGGTGATTGTATTGCTCTTTCTGATCTGGTCGATAATCCTAGTGATGTCCCTCATAAATAACTGGCTGGAGCTGCGATCAGACGCATTCAAAATTACTGTGCATGTCCGCCGACCGATCCCCACTCGCACCGACACCATCGGGCCATGGCTGGACACACTCACGTTCTTGACCTGGCTCGGTGCGCTGACGAACTCTGCGCTTGTATACCTTTTCCGTCCTCGTGACCACTGCAAGCCCTTGGGCACATCGCTATCGCATGCACATCATCACCTCAGCAAGCCTGACGCTCCGGCTCAGCAATACCTGATGTCGGCGTTGCTAATCGCGCTCGCAGCTTCGCATGGGTATATCCTCTTGCGGATGCTAGTCCGACATACGCTTGAGCGGGTGCTGTGGCGGGGAAGCAAGGAAGAGCGTGAAGCGGAGCGCATCGAAACGGTCGTGAAGGAGCAGTACCTTCGAAGTCTTGGGGTAGCGGACGTGGTTAGCGCGGAGGATAAGACTGCGGAGACCCCAGGCGAGCATGGTCCGGAGGGCGGATCCTCGGCGTTTTGGACCAGCGACGAGGGATTGGACGAGCTGAGCCGCGGGACGAAGGAGGCCTGAATCTATCTTCTGATGTGGTTGAAAGGCAATGAATGGTGAAGAACATGGGAATGCCGAGAGGACAAGTGGTCTGTTTACGTTAGAGGGCATGCGCCGTGATGTGGGAGGTCGAGTTCATGATTCGCTTGCAATGTTTGCTATAGACATTATGCCCCCGGTATACGAGTAGCCCGTTGCACTGGTAGAAGGTGGCAAGGCCCGCTGTAGACGATACAGTGTGACGGTCGATGTCGGGGTGGCGGCGGATCGGCGGGCGTCGGGAATTTCCAAGTGCGCGAGCTCCGGGATCCGGTTTGGCCAGGCACGCGGGCGCCGGAAACCGGTTTTGCCATCGACGACCACGACCCCAGCGCGCGTTCTGTTGCCCGCACTCGTTTGCACATTCATTCTTTGCCTGACAACGGTCCTTTCCCTTCATTTACCGTCATTTCTGTCTTGCTGGCCTCGCCTTTGCACTCGCGCGCCCTTGCCTCTCATCGCTACGCTGCTCTGGGCTATCTGAAACCATAATAGCATCGTTCTTGACGCTCTCCTCAGCTTGGATTGCCATACCTACATACACGTGCTGATAATTTCACGACATTCTGCCCGCCTCGCTGCGTACTACTCCGCGTTCTCGGCCTCGGTGGTGGGGCGTTCTTCATTGTGCTGTAATTATGTGGGTGGCCCTTCTTTGCCTCCAGCCATGTCCGCTGGTCTCACGTAGTCCCAGGCTTCATTAACCGCGCTTGTACCGTCTGGACGACTTTCACTCTTATCTGTGACGTTTGGCACTGCGTTTTAACGTAAGTGCTCACCCGGCGCCCGCTGACGGCGCGACGAACATTCACTTCTCAAACTCTCGCCTGCAGCATGTCGGCTCAGTACGACCTCCCACGACCTGCAGACCACCTCCCCCGGGGTGCTGCCCGCCTGCACATGGCCAACAAGCCCACATCTTACCATATATCTCACATGGAGCATGGTGGTACTCGCCGCATTCCAGTCGTGTCCAGCTCGCTGCCCCAGACTTCGTGGCTGTCGGACGTTGCAGAGTTCAACCCCGTACCACCATCCCAAAATCATCTCGGTGTCTCTGCCACTGGTTCAGACTCACTGCTCAGCGTTGGCTCGGTATCTGACTCCGGGCCGCCTTCAAGTTCGCTGCATCGTGCTCGGTCCCGGGACTATCTTCCTTCCTCCCGTATGTCAGTACAGTCTTCGGGCTCTGGTCCCCTGTCCCGTCGGAGTCCCGTCCCACCCAGTCGTACCCTTCATGCTTCCCGATCCTTCTCCTCCACCAGCCCTTTGAAGGCTTCGGCTTTCTCGGACCGCGACGCCAGCGGTCACCTCGACTTCAAACGACTCATGAGTAAGCCTGCAAAGCAATCCGCGCCTGCGCCTTCCATGGTGTCTCTTCCCTCCGACTCCGAACCCTTTGGCTCGGCATCGTCAAGCCGTCTTGTGCCATCACGCCGTCCTAGCACATCAGCCTCTATCCCAAGCCCACCTCTTGCAAGAAGTACGAACCCATCTCGCGAGAAGCTCTCGTTACAAGTCACGACGTCTGGGCCTCATTCCAATGCCGCTCATCAATCCAGCCAAGGGTCCTCAGCAGAACGTAGACCAGGGACCAGCGAAGGTCAAGCTGTGAAGGCAACCCGCAACGTACTTCGACGGCGGCCAAGTGCTCGCTCAAATCCAGGTACACCTACCGTGGCTTCATTCCAGGTCGCAAAGGAAGAGACTTTATCGGGCCTGCGCTCTGCACCCTCCAATCCCCCGTCTAGTTTGGATCATCCGACCCGCTCCTCTTCTGCCCGTCCTTCCACTTCGCCTTCCCATCCCGCTGCCACCTTGCCTCGTAAGATGTCGGCATCGACGTCTTCGAAAGATAAGCATAGCCCTGTTGGTCTCACCCCCGCTGGCGCCGTCGCGCTTGCATACAAGCAACAGGAGCAGCGTCGTGAAGAGCTGGCTGAGAGTGTGTTGTCCAACGACGCACGTGCATATAAGCCATCGTCCATCAAAGCTCCGTCTCTCCCTATGCACCATATGGACATAGACGTGCCAGCCGACGAGGTCGCTGAAGAAGGCGGCGAACCATATTACACCGTCTTTGGGAGTTCATCAGGGCGTTTGGTGGCTGT